CCTTGCAGAGTGTAGGGATGTGTGTATCTATGCAAAATTATAGACACAAATTCATAAAAATATTTGTATCTAAAGTGCAAAAAATATAACCCAGCGACATCAACGGATATTTCTCTCTCATTCCTAATAAAGCAGTAGCAGTACTTATTATGAAAAGCATAAAGCACATGAGAATATGGATTTTGTCAATGAAAAGATGCACAGATACTTAAGTCTGGGGGCATCAGGGAGACTTACATTTCAGCAGGTGCCCAAGCACATAACTAAATCATGATAAATCATTGCACCCCAGTCACCCTATTGTCCTCTTCAACTATACAAAGGGAAACCTACAATCAAAACAGACCAAGCTCTTTTTGCATCATGCGTTATTGGGATTTTCATTGTGTTGACAAGACTGTTGGGTTAGAGTCTGGCTCTGTTGTTCTTGCTGCTGTCATCTACACAACCCATCATCAGCTTGTGTTGGCATTTTGTACTGACTTGTGCTATTTGATGGGGAGATGGGAATAAGGAAGGGAAAATACTCTTCTGACGTTTGCTGTGACTACCTTTTGCAGTATCACATAGCCTAATTTTTTGTTCATCCTAGACTTGGGAGACAAAGCAAACGAGCAGTTCACACAAAGGTGTATGTTGTGCTGAGCATCAATCAGTCAGCTAGAAGGAAAAGCACTGGGCCCGAAAAGTAAGGTAGCAAAACCGAACATAGTCTTTGTTATTCCTCTCCCTCAAACCACTTGACGATAATCATAGAATAGAAAAGAAACATAGAAACATAGAACAGTTTGTGCTGGAAGGGACCTTTAAAGGCCATGTAGTTCAACCCCCCTGCAATGAGCAGGGACATCTTCACCTACATCAGGTTATATGTAATCTCCTGAGGTGACTTGGTAGCTGAGGAGCTTCAGTTTATGGCAGTATTGGGCCCTGGGACTTTCACCCAAACGTGGTCTGTGGCAGAAAGCATATCTCTTCCTCACCCATCTTTTGCCTTTTGGACAATCATATTTGTTGAAATCAACATGAAGATGACAGATCAGAGGGCAAAACTCCGTCATGAACAAAGAAGAAGTTATTGAATACAGTGGGATGAAAGAGAAGCCCTGAAGAAGGGTTCGTGTGCCTGAAAGCTTCCCTTCTTTCTTTTTTTTTTTCTTTTTTTTTTTTTTTTTCCCCCTACTGGTTGCAATATAAAAGATATTCCCTTTGTCTAAATCTTGTCTTACTTGTGTCTTTAGATCTCTGTGGCTGTAAGAGCACAACTATCACCATTTACAGTCATCTGTAACACAGTATCTTATGGCAACAGATGATGTCAGACCAGACCACGCAATCACTTCCCTGTGGGAATAAACAGTTGTCCTAAAAAGAGTCTTTTTAACATTCACAGGCCCATTTCACGTGGTATTCAGAGTACAAAATTGTTGAGGCAATCTGCTGGATGATCCTACCAGTTATCTCACCTTCTGCCTGCTCTCATTTTCTTTTTCCTAGACTTGTGGTAGGACCAATGGTGTGGGTAACCAGTCAGGGAGCAATGGCCACAGTTTTCCCTTCTATAATGAAATGTAGGCACATTACTTTGCCGTGGCTATGTGAGGGGCTCTTCATTTGATGAGCTCCTGGGGTCTTATGTATCCTGGCACCAGAAGCCAGTCTGTAAAGATTTCTAAAGCAAGTAAAAGCTGCTAAAAGAAATAGGGATCTTCAGGTTGCATTGCCAGACTCATGAAAGGCTTTATTTCCATTCTATTTCTGAGGGCATTTTGTTCTGCTTCTTCAGCTGGTGTCTGTTAGCATCCCACATCCCAAATACCCTGTTATGACAAGACCAGCTCAACAGCTGAACAAGGATTGTCTTTTCCAACAGCACCTACACTGGCATTGGGTCGATGGGAAAGAAAAACTGTTTGCTGCCACTGCTGCTTAGTGCAAATTAAACCGTACCTTCTCCTCTCTCCCCATTGAGCTGCACTTCTTCACAAAATAATTTGTCGGCTCTAATGCATGATTGGAATATGAGGGAAGGAACACACTAAAGCGTTGGCAAGAAACTTAACCCTTCATCCTCCAGTGTGGTTGCACTTATCCTTTCCTTTCTCTTTCCAGCAGCCCTCCCTTTGTTTATTGTCATGCCTTTTTCTATTTACCACCTGGTGTAAAGGCCAGGATTTCATCCACCTCTTCTCTAAGGTGGTATTTGTGGTAGAAGATCCGTGCCTTCAAAACTGCACACACTTTGTGACAAAGGCATAGCTTCATCTAGAAAACACCACACCGCGCTCTGTTGCTGTATCAATGAATAATTAATATAGTGAAATAATTATATGCAACAGATTTTACATTCTTGTAATTTGCAATTTGTTCTCCATGTTTCTGGAAAGCAAATGATTTATATTTGTTGTTTTCTTTTGCTTTTAACCCATATCTGGCTTACCTGGAATTGCTTTGTTTAAGAACACATTGCATAGGCATGATATCGTTGAACATTTTAGACTGTAAATAACCTTCTACTAAATAGTAATGAGACATGTTCCAGTAAATTCTGGTTAGGGTAGGAGCAGCTGCAGGGTAACAGGTTTTTGGATTAAAGGAACAATTATTTATCTGGCATAAATGGTACGCATACTGGCTTAACCTGGCAAGAAGATAAACTTTAATATGACACTGATTTCAGTACAGTCTCACTCATTATAAAATTTACAGACTTATTGAAGTAAATAAATATGTACACATTGCTACTGTTTTCTTGACACGTATATATGTACACGTGTGTGTGTATATGTATTGTGTGGCAGGAGATGCCAAACAAACAAATCTATTCAGTGCTAACACAAATGTACCTGACAGACCAGAAGTTTTAAAATGTTGATTGAAAATATTTATAGGTTTCTGTGCAGCCCTGCCTTAGATATGAAAAAAAAAAACAAACAACCCGCAACCCCCAAACCCAAACACCAAAACAACAAAAACCCGAAAGCATTTCAGGCATGTGGCACCAGATTTCTGTATTTGAGCATATGAGCTCATGAATTGTAGCTTTGAGCTATGCAAAAATGTGCATAAGTGCCCTTAATGTGTCTGTATGTTTGATGATGCATGATTTGTCTCTATATTCTGTCTGCAAAGTGGACACTAATATCTATCCTGTAGCATAATTAGAAAAGTCATAAAATATCCTGCTGTACTAAGACAGGATATCACCCATCTGGGATTTATATCAGGAGATGTTCTTTTCTGGTTTTGCTGTCAGCACAAATGTTTAAATATACCTTCAAGAGTTGAAATATTTGGAAAGAAATTCTGTTTGCTTTATGTAAGCAAGCAATAGTCTGCCTCTAATGATGTTTCATCCTTCAGTTATATTCCTCTGTCTCTGCTAAAACTGGAACATACATAGTCACCTTAATTTTACTAGGGATTGCATGTGGAAGAAGACAAAGTAAAGGTGTCAGGATCTTGTCCAAAGTGAGCTATTATTTTCTTATTCTATTCTATTCTATTCTATTCTATTCTATTCTATTCTATTCTATTCTATTCTATTCTATTCTATTCTATTCTATTCTATTCTATTCTATATTCTATCCTATCCTATCCTATCCTATCCTATCCTATCCTATCCTATCCTATCCTATCCTATTCTCATTATATAATTTAGATTACAAACAAATTAATTTTTAGCATAATAAAGCGAGCTCTTGCAGTGCAAAAAGATTAAGGTGTTCACAGGAGAGAAGAAATTGTGGTAATTGAAAAATACAGTATATTTTTTTTAAACATGAACGATGAGCACAGATTCATTCTGCTGTAAGAAGGTCTTTATATCATTGCCCTCACAGAAATCATCCAAACTCCTTCTAGTAGTGCATTGAATTATATGATTTTTTTTTTTTATATATATATATCACTGTCATATGCAGCTCATTCTTTTTTCTCATCTTTCCCCAGGGAAGAATTGTGCATGAAGTAGTAAGATTTATTTCTTCCACAGAATTTTTTTATGTAGTTAAGTTGGAGAAGGCAGGTCAAAGAAAAGTGTTTTGCACTTGGTGATAAAATATGTGCTTGTCCTTAAGGTTGGTTTTTGGTTTGTTTGTGTTTTTTGTTGTTGTTGTTGTTGTTTTGTTAGGTTTTTTGTTTGTTTTTTGTTTGTTGTTTTTTTTTTTCCCTGGGAGTTTATAATATTCTTTTGGATCAGTTGCAGAGAAAGTTTTCTCTCTTGTTCTCTCACATATTAACTTTAAGTTAAAAGCTTGATTTTGCCTGAGGATTTATTGATCACAGTCTTCACCGGAAGATTTGGTGATCATTCAGCAGTTTTAGACCCAGGTCAAGTAACTGCCATTTTCAAGAAATAAACAGTTCCAGAAATAACCTGAGATAAACTGATGTAGCTCAATAGCTTTCAATCATTAACATCAGCTGAGGATTTGACCTAACTTTAGAAGGACCGTATGAGAGTTCAAAGGCACGGAAAGCCATTCTGGGTGCAAATCACTCCAAACCTATAGTGCCGTTGCATCTTTGTTATCCTAAACATAGCTGTGAGAGTTAAAATGCTCATTAGAATTAATGTCCTAAATTTTCCACCAACTGCATTTTTAAAATCCTGAGTGATACTTGAACCTGATTCAATCTTATGCTGTTAATCATACCAGATACAAGACTCGAAAGACGGTAAATATGTAATTTCTACTGAGCATGAAATAAAGTCGCCAGAATGATCTAATTTGACTGTAAAGCTTATAAGATCTAACAGTTCGCTTTTCCCAGACTGAAATTTCAATTCACTCATTTTTTCTCGAAGCGACAATCAGATGCAATATTTTAAAAACAAAACAAAAACTGAAATTACCACCCCCAAAATACTCCCAACCCCCCAGCAAAAACAGTAACAAAAGCAACCACAAGTAAACCAAAGAATTGTTCTTCGTGATTGAATCTGTCAAAACATGGAATATGGGGTTTCCTCCACTAACATTTCTTTTGTTTTGTAGGTGGCACCTGTGTTGTTAACCCCACCGACCTGTTCTGCTCTGTTCCTGGTCGCTTATCTCTCCTCAGCTCCACTTCGAAGTACAAAGTGACGATTGCGGAGGTGAAGAGGCGCCTTTCACCACCAGAATGCCTCAACGCTTCCCTCTTAGGAGGCATTTTGAGAAGGTAAGTTGAAGGTGGGAAAAACAAGTCGTATACAGTGCTATTAATTCCTGTAATTTTATTTTCTACAAATGGGTTTTGTTTTCTTTCCCCTCTTGCATAGGTGGTCACAGTTTGGGAGAACGGAAGGAGATGGGTTGGGAGTGAACACTGTTTCTAGGGAAATATTCAGTAAATGAGAAACATTAAGATTGTGTTGACATTCTTCACAGAAAGTTTACTTTTTTCATTGAACCATTTTTTTTTCCTACCCTCTCAGTTCAGTTACTCATCAGAGATGGATAGGTATCACTTTGCCTTGTTTTGAATGAAAAAAAAAAAAAAAGACCCTCAGAGTGTGGAAAATTTCACCAGAGCTACAAATCCGACTTCTTGTTGAGAAAGTGTTTCAAAGCAAATTGTTTTACCAAGTGTGGTTACAGCCCTCACTCATCGAATACCTAAAACATGCAAGTGCAGGGCTGCCTTTTTCTCATGTTGTCCCTTGTGTGCTTTTTGATTACAGAAGAGGTAGACTTAGCAGAATATGACGGGTTTATTTTTCTAGCTCTGAGATACTGGAGGAGAAGCAAGTAATTAGGTACAGTTTTCCCTCTGACCCTTCACTGACCAGAGATGACTTCAGAGAGCAGTAGCAGCGAGGAGGAAAGTGGCAGCCAGTGCCTCACATGGCAAGTGGAAAACAAGGAGGCAACTGTAATGTAGCCGGGCATATGTAAATTACAATGTCCCTGAGGCGTCAACTTAGATGGCATAAACTACTTGAATCCCCTTTGATCAAAACTAGCTGGAAAGTCATAGGCTATTTCACTGCTGTCACTGAAGGCCACACTGATCCTCCTACTTATACTGAAAGTCATTTTAACTAACCTGCAATATTCTAAGATATGTCGTAGTCCAAGAGCTGTCTTGAACCACCTTGCAGAGTAAGGACTACAGATCAGAAAATTGTTTCAGGAGGACAAGGCCCATTTACCTGCCTCTGTAGGCATTGAAAACCAAAATCTACATCCACAAAGTTTTCCTCTGTTACTGCTTCACCTTGGAGAGGCTTTCAGTTAATAGTCACAGAAATATTGACTTTAAATACTCATACCAGAGGCTTCATCAGTACCAGTACAAGCTGGTAAGAATGCAAGGGCACCACCCTGAACATGGGGACTCATTTCTCTGTTTTTGTTAAAATGCTAGAATGATCCCCAGAAGTTTTTGACACAGACCAAATATCACTTTTCCAAATTAACCTTGGGCATGGTTCAGGAGTTTGCAAAAAACAGGGACTGCTCCCAGCCAGCAGTTTGGATGCGTTAATTCTCTTTTATGAAGCACATGAATGAATAAATTTGGTCAGGCTTTATCTGTTTGTATGAAGACTGGAGAACAGACTCGAACACTCTGCAGTTGACCAGCAGAGATGTGTCAAAACCAACTCTTGTTCATGGTTTGCCTAACACATGGCAGGGTTGTTTTTTCATCCTGTCAGCAGTCACCATCTAAGAATTTCCACAGCTAGTTTTAATTCGGAATTAAATGTTCTCAGAAGACATTTCCTGACATACAACATGGTCATAGTTGTGGTATCTCTTAGCACATAAAAACGACCACCCAAATGGTGGTATTCCAAGTTTGAATACTTGAACCTGCACCTCAAAATATCTAGTTAGGCATGCTTAGTACTCTTGATGGGTTATTCTGAGCTGAGGATCCCTCAATCTCATTTGAGGCTAATTTTTTTTTTTTTTTTTTTTTTTTTTTTTTTTTTTTTTTTGACAAAAGCAAAGGTGTAACTATAGTAATGACTCTATTATCTAATGACCAGGTCATTCATTTGGGATGGGAGAGATCTGGGTTGCAGTCACTTCTCTATTCAATGTTTAAGCATTTTAACATTAGTTATTCGCTGCCAGCTGGCTGCTACATTTGCCTGAAAGACACAGGTTAAAAATCCCCCAGGCTGAGGGAGAAATTGAACCTATGTCTGCTGCATAAGTGGATATGTCTCAAATGCTTCAAACACTGAGGTAATGCAGAAAAGCAGGTGTGGGATGCACCAGGAATCATTTTGTGAGAACAAAGTGGTGTAGATATTCGGGATAGGGACATAGATAACCAACGATGGCTGGGATTTTAGCTTCAGCATTTCCTATTGCCTCATCCTTCTTCCTTGTAAGTATTGGGCGCTGTAGACTAATTTTCTAAGTACCCAAGTATCTACATAAATTATAGAGGGATAGCTAAAGCTGAGTTCCACATAGACATCTACGTTTCAGTAGCCATCTGGCTTCCTTTTTTAATCAGGTGAGAGAGATGGATAAAGTCCCCTCATTCCAGATATCTGTTTAACATCTTTCTAGAAGTGCACGTTTCTCTTTCCATTGTCTTTGGAGCCTGGGGTGGTTAAATCAGATATAAGCAACAGCACTGTGAATATTTATATTCAGACATTGCAATCTCAGGCTCTGTGCCCAAATCAGGATGATGGCTTCCACTTGGTGGAAAGCTGACTGAAGATCTGATGACCCCGTGACAGGCATTAAAATGTCTAACTCTGTCCAAGAACCAACATGAAAGGCTCACAGAGTGAGCAGGACGTTAAAAATACAGCTCTGACGGGTTTTCCATTCATGTCATTAGTGTAGGCATTACCCCGCACGTTTGTCAATAAGGTGTGTACAATTTCTAGACTTATATTAACACGGGAAAAAAAAGTGCAGAATAAAGATAAGTTTATCTCTCCTACTGTTCTCTTGTGATAGAGCAAAATCCAAGAACGGAGGACGATGCTTGCGAGAAAAATTAGACAGACTGGGACTGAATTTGCCTGCAGGAAGAAGAAAAGCAGCAAATGTCACACTCTTGACTTCCTTGGTAGAAGGTAGAGTTTATAATATTACAACATAAACATATCTAAAATGTTTCCCTGTATACATTTTTCAGCCACAGTGTTAAACACCATAATCTGTATTTTGTACAAAGAGGAGAACTGACTTGCCTAAAGCCACAGACAGAATGAGTGGCAAAATGGGAAGTTCACTCTTGAGATGTCTTGGCTCCCAGCAAGTGGTTTGGTCCTGCAGTTTCCTCATCATTGATCTGTGTTTTCTGTGCTGAGATCTGACTTACAAATCGATGATCCAAGTGTTCTTGTGAGAAAGATGAATGTCTTATACCAACTCTATAAGTAGGTTTGTTTATCCTCCTTTTTTTTAAAAAAAAAAAACCTTGTGAATTTCCTGGAGCTGATCCAAAAATGCAATTTTTTTTTTCCCTGTAAGAAGGCATAATATTCAGACAAGACTGTGTCCGTCCATCCCCCCCCGTCCCTGTC